TACAGTAGTAATCAGTGGAAGCTGGGTTGAAGGGAGAAAAATATTGAGATTGTATGAACTTGTATAGGACTCTCCTCTCTGAATACTATTATTAGAAATTGAATGTGATATCTTTTTTCTATATTATATAAAAACTAATATTCTCCCAAAATAAATATTGATTTTTTAAGAAGTCTTTAAATTTGTTTTTCTTTCTAGAAGAAGTTATGAGAAGCAGATTAATAACCTATTTGTAATTCATAGATGTAGTGGCAACTTTAGAATAAAGAGTAAAATGGAAAATATTTTAAAGGCAATCATAATTATATATTATAGTAATGTGTCCTTTAGAGTCTGATATGGTAGCTATCCTCTCAAGAACAATTATATGTCCTTTTTTTAATGGGGGAAAAAATGTTTTAAGTTAATGTCTCCCTTTGATATATTTTTAAAAATAGTTTTTCTGATAACCTCATGGAAAGTTGATTAGATCTACTAGTGACTAAGTACAATTTTTTAGAAGTCAAGTAAAAACATAAGATTATACCATTAGTAATCCTTCTAATATTTTCCTTGACATGGTTTACTTGGCTGTTTTATAATCTACCCCCATTTACCAATTGGATTCTTAATGTTTTAGTTTTTATTTATGTGGAGTTATTTTATCTAATCTAATAAAAGACAAACATGCAAATTGACTGTACCTTCGCTATGCCTTAAGCCACACCCACCAGCCAATCAGAGCGACTATATGCAAATTAACCCAACCAAGATGGCAGCCGGCAGCCACGGAGCTGGAGCAAGCAGGAGGCTTGGTTGCTCCCGTGATGGAGGAAGCCAAGCTTCCCGCCTGCCGCGGCTGGCTCTGAGCTCCACTGAAGGCAACAAAGTTTCAATTATAGAAGGTAAATAAATCCCAGAATAAAAAAAAGAAAAGAAAAAAAGGAGAGGCTGGGAGCTTCCGTCGCGAGGGGGCTTGGACAGCCTGCAAATGGCCCTCAGCCCCTCACCCAGACTGGCCAGGCAACCCAGTGGGGACCCCCACCCTGAAGGGGGTGTGACCAGCTGCAAACAGCCATCAGCCCCTCACCCAGGCTGGCCAGGCACCCCAGTGGGGACCTCCATCCTGAAGGGGGTGTGACCAGCCTGCAAACACCCATCAGCCCCTCACCCAGGCTGGCCAGGCACCCCAGCGGGACCCCCACCCTGATCCGGGACACCCTTCAGGGCAAATCAGCTGGCCCCCACCCATGCACCCGGCCTCTATCCTATATAATAAAAGGGTAACATGCAAACTGACCCTAACAGCAGAATTACTGAGAATGACTGGTCACTATGACACACACTGACCACTAGGGGGCAGACGCTCAATGCAGGAGCTGCCCCCTGGTGGTCAGTGCACTCCCACAGGGGGAGATCTGCTCAGCCACAGCCAGGCTGACGGCTGCCAGCACAGCGGTGGTGGTGGGAGCCTCTCCCGCCTCCTCAGCAGCACTAAGGATGTCCGACTGCAGCTTAGGCCTGCTCCCTGCTGGCAAGTGGACATCCCCCGAGGGCTCCCGGGCTGCCAGAGGGATGTCTGATTGCCAGCTTAGGCCCAGTCCCCCGGGGAGCGGGCCTAAGCCAGCAGGTGGTCATTCCCCGAGGGGTCCCAGACTGCGAGAGGGCACAGGCCGGGCTAAGAGAACCCCCCCCCCCGAGTGCACAAATTTTTGTGCACCGAGCCTCTAGTCTAGTATATATATAAAAATAATATTTGTTGCAAATGTTTTTCTCACTATGTTGGTTTTTCCTTTTTAGTGAGATGTGCTATTAAATATCGAGTTTTTCATTTATAGTCAAATTTTTCTCTTTCTAATTTATTCTGTTATTTCTAGGCTTATAAAGTTTTCTCCCTCAGAAATTAGATAAAAATGTATTGCACTTTCATACCACTTTTACCTTGATTTGATGTTTTAGTATGTAATGATATCTTTGTGGATTATTTTGGTCTATTGAGAAGTCTCTTCCATCTCTCCTTTTCACAGTGATTTTTTTTTAAGATTTGTCTTTTTTACTATCTCTCTTTCCTCACATCCAGTTTTTCTAACCACACCACATAAAATGACTTCCATTCTGATCACCATGTTGCTAAGTCAAATGAAGGGTTAGCCCTTATATTATAAGACCTCAAGTCAGTATTTGACACAGCTATTGATCACTGTATTCTTTGTAAAAGAGTCATCCATTAGTCTCTGTGATTTCCACACTCCTGACTTTTCGCCAACTTGTCACCTCTCTTTTGTAGCCTCATCCTTCTCTAGTTTAATTATTGAAGTTCCTCACGACTTTTTACTGGCTTTTCTTCTCATTTATACTCTTACACCCTAAGTAAGCCCCACTGTTCCCATTCTTGACTTCAGTTATCATCCAGATAACTGCTTGGCTCCAGACCTAGAATTGCCTACTTGACATCTTAACTTGACCCTGTTAAAGAACCTCAAGCTCAACATATGCAAAATAGTTATATAATCTAAATATTCTAACACCTCACCTCCACCCTCCAGTGCCCCCCCCCCCAAAAAGCTAATTAATTTCTGATCTGTTTTCTAAGAATCCCAGTGTCAATGAAAAGCTCTACCATCTTGACTACTTCTTCCGTCACCTCGTATAGATAATCCAGCACCCCTTTCTATCCAATTTAGCTCCTAAATTGCCCATTTTCCTCACCTCTACCATCAAAAACCCAGTTCAAGCTACCATTATCTGTCATCTCTATTACTAAAATATTCTCTTAACTAGTCTCCCCACTTTTACTCTACCTCCTTCCAGGTTGTTCTAACGCAGCAGTAATATTTTCCAAACACAAACTTAATCATTTTATTCCCTGCTTAAAGTCATTTTGGGGCATCTCATTGTTTTGAAGACAAAACCAAGAATGTTTATTTGACATAGAACTTCATTTATCTCTATAGGCTCATTTCATGTTCATTCTCTACTCTGGATTGCTTTCAGTATCTCAAGCTCACTCTGCTGCCCTCAACTTTAGGGACTCTACACATGCTTTTCCTTTTTCCTGTAACACCTTTCCTTGCCCTTCTCTTGGTTAAGTACCAAGTATCCCTAAGAGCCCCTTTTAATCAATTTATTTAGAGAAGCCTTCTCTGACTTACACAATATCAGATATACCCAGATACGTGACACCATATGCTTGTCCTTCACAGTACTGGATCACTGTCTTGTCTCCAATAGAATGCACAGTGCCAGGCACTAATAGGCCCTCAGTATTCATTGGTTGAATGAATAAATTCATGATTATTTTTCAACCTAAATTATAGAATCATCAGGCTTTTTAATCAAACTAAGGTTATTTAATTTGGGAAAAATGGGACATACTATCAAATGTTATTTTTTCATTCACTTAAATCTTTTTTTTATTTACTTAAATCTTTTATCACTCTTGTGGGTTATACATTTCTTATTAAAAGTTATCCTATGTTTTTTTAATCTTATTTTTTTAATTTTTTGTGTAAAGTTTTACATATGTCTCCTTTTTCCCCGATTGACACACCCCCCCCCAGCCATTCCCACCCCGGGCAAACCCCCAACGCCCCAGTGTCTGTGTCCATTGGTTATACTAATATGCATGCATACACGTCCCTAAGTTTTGTGTTATAAGTGGAATCTCTAGTTGCTTATTGTTGGCATTTAAGCTTTTTTATCTGTATCCAGTTATTAGTTTTTTCCTACTTTATTTAGAATCTTACTACTAGAAATGTATATGTTTTTTAGCTAAAATTATCTAAAACTGAAAGATTTTTAAATAGTTTTTATCTCTCTTGATCATCAGCTATACTTTAGATCATAAAACTGGGGGGACGTTCTCTAGATTTTAGTCAAAGAATATTCTTACTGAGAAGATAGCTTCAAGGCAGTGCCCCACCCTTGAGAATTTAAGACACTGATTAAGTTAACTGGTTTGGGAAATTTTTATAATTAACATCTATATAAAACTTAGAGCTTATACAGTTCTTTCATATGTCATTTTTACATTTATTCACCTATCCTTAAACCTTTTAAGGTAGGTATTATTATTACTGATAAATAATTGAGTCTCGGGGAAATTAAGAGACTTTTCCATGGTCATTAAAATATTGAGTTCCTGAACTGATGTTATACCCCAGGACTCATTCTTGAGAGCTTATGCTGTTTCTCCTGTATCACATTGCTTTTCATGTGTGTACAAAACAAACTGAAAGTCCTTAATTGGATACTAAGTGAGTAATAAGCTAGAAGCTTTCCTAGAATATCCCTTCTGAGTATTTTTAATATTTATATTTTTATATGAATCATTTAGACAATTATTTTAAATTATTTTTCTTATAGGAACCTCCAGAAGTTTAGCCTTTTTGGAGATATAAGCGTTCTACAACAGCAAGGAAATTTGTCAAATACATACCTCAGCAAGGTGGACCCTGATGGCAAAAAAATCAAGCAGTAAGTTATATAGTTAGTAGAAGGGGCTTATTTAATATTAATTTCAGTTTTTTTGAGAAATTTTAAGGTATGATACAATCAGAAGAGTAATGATTGTTTTTCTAAAAAGAACATATGTCCTGGAAATGTCTTAACAATGAAATACAATAACCATTATGTGCCATTTCGTGTCATAAGTTTTAAGACAAATCAAGGAATTTTCTGGGTAATTATTGCTTTGTGAAACTTATTTCTCTGCTTGCTTTTGCTATAACACAAATTGTATGTCACCAGTCTTTCCTGCTATACTGAAATAAAATGCTGCTTTCCTTGAACATATCTCTATATTTTTAATATATCTATATGTTTAATACATCTTATTCCTTATATTTTAATGTGAATTTTAATGGCATTTATGATAATACTTGTGAGTTGGATAGAAATTAACTGAGAGAAAATGGATCTCAAAATTGCATGCCATTTCATTGCCTGTTTTTTAAAAAAAAGTCTTAAAAGATTAGAGCCAAATGTTAACAGGATCTTTGTGGCTTGTGTTTTTCTTACAGAATTCAGCAGCTGTTTGAAGAAATACTGAGTAATAGCAGGCAACTGAAATGGCTGTCCTGTGGGTTTATGCTGGAAATAGTAACCCCAACATCACTGTCATCTCTCTCAAACTCTATTGCCAACACCATGGAGCACCTGAGTTTACTGGACAACAATATTCCTGGTAACAGCACCCTTATCACTACAGTGGAACTAGAGCGATTTGTGAATCTGCGCTCACTTGCCCTGGATTTCTGCGACTTTACAGCTGAGATGGCAAGAGTCTTAAGCGATAGCAACCATGTGCCTTTGCAGCGACTGTCTCTCCTGGTCCACAATGTTTCTGTGATGCACAAGTCTCTGGACAACATGCCAAATGATGAGCATTGGAAAGCCTTGTCACGAAGGAGTCCCAGCCTCCGGGTCTATATCATGGCTTTTGATATTAAGAGTGAAGACATGTTAAAGATTCTGAAACCCAGTATACCACTAGAGAGGATTCATTTTGACAGCTACATCACTTGTGTTTCGGGAGCTATTGTTGATCTTATATCTAGGCAGTATGACAAGTTCCTCACTCATTTCATATTAATGAATGATGTGATTGACACGTCTGGTTTTCCAGATCTTAGTGATAACCGAAACGAAGATCCATTGGTGTTATTAGCGTGGAGGTGCACAAAGCTTTCTCTTCTGGCAATTCATGGTAGGTGATTTTCGATTAGTTTAATTTGATATCAGTATTACATCTGAAATGTTTTATGCTATAAAAGATAACATTGGCATTTAGTGTTAAGAAATCTTATAACAAATTGATATGCAGATTTTTATACTTTAAAGTTTATAAGTTTATATCACTTACAAGTAGGAAGTCACATCTCTACTCTAAGGATTCTTATCCAAGTTCCCTGTTACTTTTTCTTCCATCACACGATTGATGGCATTTCACAAAAATGGTATTTGAAATCAATTTATCTAAGAAAACATACATATTTACTGACAGTAAAAATATTTCCTCTAATCACAGATCTCTTAAAAAGATAACATGGAAGGAAGAGAAAGTATGATTTTTTTTTTCATTCCCATTGCCCCATCTTCTAGATTCTAGGTATTACCATATTAATTTATATGACTTTTTTTTTTTATTTGGTGATTCCATTGATTGGGCATATTCTTATTTTATACTGGGGCCTTTCATCTTTTTTTTTTTTTTTTATGTAATGATGTTTACTTTGAATTTATATATATATATTTTTTTTTATTGCTTAAAGCATTACAAAGGGTATTACATATGTGTCCTTCTTTTTCCCCCCGCCCTTGACAATACCCCGGCTTCCCCTACCCCCCAGTGACTTATGTCCATTGGTTATGCTCATATGCATGCATACAAGTCCTTCAGTTGATCTCTTACCCCCCTCCCTCCTGCCCCCCAACCCTCCCCGGCCTTCCCGCTGCAGTTTGAAAATCTGTGTGAGGCAGCTCTGCCTCTGTATCTATTATTGTTCAAAAGTTTATAATGGTCTCTATTATCCATGAATGAGTGAGATCATGTGGTATTTTTCCTTCATTGACTGGCTTATTTCACTTAGCATAATGCTCTCCAGTTCCATCCATGCCGTTGCAAATTGTAAGAGTTCCTTCTTTCTTACAGCAGCATAGTATTCCATCATGTAGATGTACCACAGTTTTCTAATCCATTCATCTACTGATGGGCATTTAGGCTGTTTCCAGATCTTAGCTATGGTGAATTGTGCTGCTATGAACATCTGGGTGCATATATCCTTTCTTATTGGTGTTTCTGGTTTCTTGGGATAAATTCCTAGAAGTGGGATCACAGGGTCAAATGGGAGTTCCATTTGGCCTTTCATCTTAATGTGAACTGTTCTTATTTGGAGAGAGAGTTTCATTCTGATAATTAGAAAAACATTTTACTTCCTTTTTGATACTTATAAGACATGTACAGGGTACAAATTAGGAAGTCTCTGTGAACGTATCTTACACTCCCTTTATTACCTCTGTTTCTTTTCTTTTTAGCCACATTTGTGTCTTGCTTTTCAAGTTTTGTTTTGTAATTTGGTCAGCCAGCAGAGATAGTAGCAAAGAATAGACCAATGTTGAAGGTAATAAATAAAATGAGGATTTTGAATGGGATAAAGAAATGTTAGGTTATTTTCAAAGTTAATTTAACCTAGTCTTTTTAAAGCTTTTTTTTCTTCTTTTAGTAAATAAGATGTTAAATACAGCTAAAGCCTCCCATTTTATTCCTTCCCAGAGGTAATTATTATTCTGAAGTTAGTATATATCATTCCCATGACTGTTTTGCACTTTACATATTTGCTACTGACAATTAACAATTTATCTTTAAAGTTTAAAGTGTCAATTCATAACTTTGGACTATGAATGATTTTCACTAATGAAAAACACCAGTTTAATTATGTATTAATGGACACATATATATGAAGTAAAAAAATTTTTCTTTATGCTACATCATTATCCAGTTATAAAATTATATTTTAAACATGTATGGTTTTACTAAATGTGGTATTGGAATAGGATTACAGCACCTTCCATTTCACCACCCACAGTAAATTCTTGGGAGACAATATCAAACTTAGTCTTTTTTTTTTTGCTCGCTAAACAATCATACTTCCTTCTCAAATCTCAGTATATTTTTTAAAGGAAAAGGACCAAAGTAGTCATTGTGATACCAATTTGTGGAAAAGATTAACTTATCATATAGACAAAATAAAATGCAAGGAAATTATAGTGCTTGTGTTTTGCTTTTTTTTAAGGTTACACAGTGTGGGCACACAACCTCATTGCCATTGCTCGTCTTCGTGGCTCTAATCTAAAAGTACTTGAAGTCACCGAAGAAAGCATTGATTTTGACCAAGGTGAACTGGCCGACCAGGATGTGGATCCAGTGCATAACCTTATTGAGCAGGTATCCCTGGGCCTGGGTCAACCTTGGCACGCAGTCATGGACATCGAATCACTCAGTGTCTTCACTGAACCAAATCGTCATTTTTACAGAGAGATGCAAAGCTTTAGCGAAGACATTTAGCTTTTTTTTAAATGTACAATTCCTGTGGTTACATATGCAAGTAGGGTCCTATTATGTTTTTTTCAGTAGTGTGAATTAATCCCTTTGTGCTGTGTTTAATCAGTATTAGCTTCATAGAATTATATATGTATATTCTACTTCTTGATCAAAGAACGTAGTCGGGTATTGGATTAGAAGTTCAAAGTGACAATGTATAGGGCTTTCACGGTTAATAGACTTGTTACCAAACCTTAAAGATACACAACCGAAGGTTGTCTGAGGTTGCTGGCTAACTTTATTTTTCACTGAGTTACTCTCTCTTTTTGATTATTTTATTCTTTGTGTGTCAGAGTTGAACTCAGGAGCCAAAATATTTTTATACATATATAGATATATACCCATAGCCTGGTGGATTTGTATGCAATATACTGCATTCACGCATTCTAATAGCATTTCATTAATTTTTATTTAAAATCGAAGGGAGGATAATGTCCCAAATGAGTTATCTTTAACAGAAAAGCCAAGATTTTAACTTTCATTCCATATATAAAATTGATTATCACCAATTACCATTCTGAATTTTGTATAGTATTAGGTTAGAATCTTGCTTAACCCTTTTTTTAAAATGCATTTACATAAACAAATACTCAAATTGTTGGATTTTTAGAAACTATATCTGACATGATTTTATTTATCAATTATATTACACATTCAAGTTAGCTTTTAAGCCCAGATTTCAAGTTGTGGAGGGAGAAAGAAACTATATTCCAGGGTAAAACCTCCTAAAAGAAAATCAAAAAACAGAATTGTAAACACACATGCTTGCAAACAAACATTAGTCGTGAAATCCCTAGCAACAAGTCACTGGATTTTTCTCTGTCAGCGCGCGTGTCAGCTGCCAAAGAATAGACTTAACTGAAGAAGTGCCCACATGCTGGCAGGGGCCGGCCCACTCTGGCCAGCCAGATTCTGCTAGATTGTAATATTTAAGGTCGAATTTCGACCTGTGGTACACAGCTGTGCTGTGGCTCAGTCAGCAACCTCAGAACTCTGAAAAACAAAACACAAAAAAAAGAAAAAAAAAATGCACCTGTTTCACTGTGAATAGTGAATGTAAAGGAAGAGAGGAAAAACTGAAAACTTGTTCTATCACAGGTATGAGCTGCTATAATACATGAAGAACATTCCATGAAGTATGTTTTAAAACCTTGTTATATCTGAGAGGCTTTAAAAGCCGATTTAACTGTTTCAGGGCAACCGCGGTACAGACGTGGTCTCTGTGAGACTTCCACCTGACCCCAGTTTTAAGTGGTACGAATGTTGTGCATTTAATGTTAACGGACAGTCTGCAATAATAAAGTAGCCAACATGGGTGCCCAGCAGTGCTGAGACCTGGCTGCTCTATTGTAAGCTTTGGAAACACAATTTATGCAACAGATGTCCAGATATGATTCTATTTATGGAAAAAGTTTATATGTGTTTTACAAATGGTTTTACCATCTTATATTAAAATGACCTTTTGACAGGTGTGCACTGTTTTGTCTCCAGTGGGCACATACCATGCGGATTTTATATGTACATCAGTAGTGTGAATCCACTGGCACAGTGTGTGTAAATGCCAGATGTGGTGAGATTTTATCTTATAAATGTGATCAGATAAAATAACTCCTGACAGAAACTGTAAGGAAACCAGCTGAATGTTTGACCTGATGACTGATGTTATATGGTTTATGTTAAATGTATATTCTTTTAATCAATGAATAAAGCATTAAAAAGTGGTCATTGATATATAGTTTATTGTTTATGAAGCATGAAAACTTTTAGTATTAAATAAACTGCAATACTCCTTATATTGTGTATAATTATATGTTAGCTCCTATTGTAATCTGAGCAGTGAAGCTCAAATTTGAGAATATATCATAAATCTTAAACTGAATAGTTGGGAAGAATTTAATATTTTACCTCACCTTGGCTATATATAAGCTTAAAAGCAGACAATAGACTGGTTAGCACACAAAAAAGCAACTTAACTTCAATATGCCAGTATTAAATATAGTTTATAAACCACTATATTGCTTTAGTTTGGCTTTGCAGTCTTCATTTTGGATGTTGAGGCAAACAGCTGTCATTTATGAAGAAAATGGCTCTTTTCCTTCCATCCTTAATCATTCCAGATACAGTTTCTTCTAGGCACTGCCTCACTTTGGAACTGTCATCATACCTGCTGCATCCTTGTTAGACACACCTAACTCCTCTGAATAAATCACCATGTTTATGTATTTAAAGAACCAAATAGTACTCAAAAATGTATAAAAAAAGGGAAGCCTATTTATATATGAGTAATATACAAGTGTAGGTTGGTACAGGGAGGCACAAAACTAGGAGACTTGACACCTGTTGTCCACTCTACGCTCTGACTCTAATGCTACATGAGCCCAGACTCTTCCTTGAGCTTCAGTTTCCTCATCTGTGAAATGAAGGATTGGACTTGGTTATCTAAAACTCTGATTCTTCATCCGAAATTTCAACCCTTGTTAGCCAACAGCTTATAGACATCTTTGAACAAATGTATTAAATAAAATACTCTCAAAACATAGCTTACTGTGAAATTTACATATTGAAAATTACATTCACACTTCTCCCACCACCCTAGGAATTAAGAAAGTTAGGGATTCAGTGGAGCCGGGCTTGGAAAGGAAGTGTGCTTACGGTTGAACACATGGTTTCAAAACCTAAATTGCTTGGGGCCTATAGCATGAATTAGATTGGATCTCTACAAAGGTAGCACATAAAATGGTTCTAATGGAGTTAATACACAGGAAGCTATGAAAACCCAGTAACTCCCCCACATTGCCTATATCAAGGTTTCCCAACCTTTTCATGTCCTGACATAATTAGAAAATATTGTACACCAAACTGGTATAAACTGGGAGGAATTGGAGCAAAAAATAATCCTTTTTATAATCCTCACCTGAGGAAATGTCTTTTTTGTTTGTTTTTATTTCTTTTAGAGAGAGAGGAAGGGAGAGATTGGGTGCTTCCATAGACACCCTGACTGGGGATCAATCCCACAACCTGGGTATGTGCCGTGACCAGGAATCAAACATGACCTTTCGGGATACCAGGATAGCACTCCAACCAACTGAGCCATACTAGCCAGGGATGATATTCTTTATTCTATAATTGATGAGAAGAATAAAATGAAGATTTGGGAATCATGAATTTGTTTAGAACTTTCAAATAAAGTCTTGTCATGTTTTAACTGATTACCTCTTAAAAATTTTAATATTGCCACCAATGAGAAACCCCCCACAAATAGGTGATTTTTAAACCTTTTTCTTTTCACAAGCATTCAAAACTTATGAAGCTGAATTAAACTTAAAAAATTTAACTGTTCTTCCCTAGCCAGTTTAGCTCAGTGGATAAAGCATTAGCCTGCAGACCAACCGGTCCCGGATTCAGTTCTGGTCAAGGGCATGTACCTTAGTTGCAGGAGGCAACCAATCGATGTGTTTCTCTCAAATTGATGTTTCTCTCTGTCTTCCCTCTCTCTCTCTCTTCCACTCTCTCTAAAAAAATGAATGGAAAAATATCCTTTGATGAGGATAAACAACAATAAAGAAATTTATTCTAATGTAATAGTAAATGTGATACTGAGATTTGTGAATTAATTTCAAATTCAAATGATTTTTTTTTCATTATAAGTATTTTAAAATAACAATGCTCTCACTTATAGTCTCCTACACGTGACCATGCCACTAGTTCAGCCACCACAGAGAGCAGACATCAGCTACCAGTAGACAAGTATGTAACTTGTAAGTCAACTAGAGGCCTGTGGAGCCCCCTCCTCTCACCTCCACCTCCCAATTCCTTCACACATCTAGGGCTTCACACACCTGGCCTTTCCTATCTTCTCCTAGGATACCTGGAACATACTTCTCTCACAGCTTCATAGACCCCCCCTTGTCCATGATGGACAGTGGAGCACTCTGCATCTGGCAGGGGCGTAGCAAGTGCTCTCCACGAAGAGGTTGAAAGCATCTCTAAGCAACCAGTCAGGGCTCCCAGCCACCCAGAATTCAGGAAGCCTGGAGGGGCATCACTCTGGTTCAACCTCCTAACTTGGCTTCCTGGTTTTGGAAAGAATTTGGAAGGAGGTATATTGTGAATAAATTTTCAGGACGCTTGAATCAACCTTTTCTAAAAGATTAAAAAATTAGCCTTGGCCAATGTGGCTCAGTTGGTTGGAGCATTGTCCCATGCACCAGAAGGTCTCAGGTTCGATTCTGGCCAGGGCACATACCTTGCAGATCCAATCCAGGTCAGGGTGCTTATGGGGGGAGGAAACTGATTGATGTGTCTTTCTCACATCGGCGATGTTTCTCTATCTCTTTCTCTCTCGTTTCTATAAACATAAGTGTTAAAAAAAATCCTTTTCACATAAGTAGACGAGAAGAGAGTTTTGTTATAATGATGGCATTCATTTTTGAATTCCTGAGCTTATAAGACCAAAAAATAAAAAGTCAAACTGGTTATTTGGTTGATGCAAATAGAGTTACTCACTTTCTTGGCACTGATACCAATATTTCAAATTGTCTCTTGGGGGCTCCTGAGGTTAGGACACTTTAATATGATGCATTATAGTACAATCAGAAGTGGGTGAAAGGTATGTGCTCCTTTTATAACATGGGAATAGGGTAACTGCAAAAGGAAGGCAGGAAAGGAGAAGCTCACCTTCTTAAGTTCATCCTTAGGCAGAACAGCTGTGGAAAATACACATGGAAGGTGAAAGTCCATGAAGTTCCCTAAGAGCACACCTGCATGCTGCATAGAAATTCTTTGCATACTCACAGGGCTTGTACCCCAAATTTCAAAACTGTAGGTCTAGAGATACTGCTTATGTGACAAAAGAAACAAATACTAAAATGCTTATTTCCACATTATAATGAAAAAGCAGCAGCAGCCTAATGTCCATTAATAACAGAATGAATTTATTGTCACATATCCATACAGTGGAATACTATACTGCAGTCAAAATTAACTAACGACCATTTTATTAAAATGGATGAATCTCAAACAATGTTGAGTGAAAAAAGCCAACTTCTAAGGGCTCTATATGTAATGATGCTATTGATGTACATTTTAAAAAGGCAGACAAACTAAACTTACATATACAGTACATAAACATTTAATTGGAAAAACAAAACTCTACACAAGAGTGTTTACCTCTAGGCAAGCATGTCATACTCTCAGGCAGCATGCCACTGGCCATGAGTTTGACATGCTTTCTCTAGGGCATGAGAGCAAGAGTGGTATGGGCATGAGGACAACTGTGTATCTGTTTTATTTTTTCTTTAAAAAAAAAAAAAAGGCAAACCTTAAATTTGCTCTAGGTTATAAGTAAAGGGAAATTAATTATATTACTTGGTTCTTATATTTATAATTTAAAATCAGTATGATACAAGTTACCAATAAATGAATGTTTATGGTTAGACATGTAACATTAATGACTGTGGCTGAGTCTAAAATGTGACCAAGGCAGGAGGATAGAATATTGCCTTCTACTCTCTCACAAAGTAGTGCAGCATAATAAACTGAAAGAGGCTCAAAGATCTACTGAGAGTTTAAAGATTAGACTCATTGTAAATAGGGAAGTTCTAAATAATTTTTTATTGATTGATTTTAGAGAGGAAAAGAGAGAGGGGGGAAACATGGATTTGTTGTTCAATTTATTTATGCATTCATTGGTTGATTCTTGTGTGTGACCTGACCAGGGATTGAACCCATAACCGTGGCATATCAGGATGACACTCTAACCAAATGAGATACCTGCCCAGGGCCTAAATATTTTTTAAAAATTATTTCAGAGGAAAGGTGAAGGAGAGAGAAATAGAAACATCAATGATGAGAGAGAATCATTGATCAGCTGCCTCCTGCACATTTCCTACTGGGGATTGAACCCACAATCCGGGCATGTGTACTGACCAGGAATCAAATCACGACTACCTGGTTCACAGGTTAACACTCAACCACTGAGCCATACCGGCCAGGCCTAAATAATATTTTAATAGATCATTGCAGTTGACTCTGTATATATTTCAATTTAAAACACTATTGTCAGTAGAGTATTATGTCAATACTAGAGGCCCAGTGCACGAATTCATGCACAGGCGGGGTCCCTTGGCCTGGCCGATGATCGGGGCTGATCGTGGGGCCATCTCGCCCAGTCCTGATCGGGGCCGGCTGGTGGGGGGCCTGGGGGGGGGGGGGAACCACAGGAGGTTGGCTGTGGGAGCACACTGACCACCAGGGACAGCTCCTACATAGAGCGTCTGTCCCCTGGTGGTCAGTGCATCATCATAGCTACTGGTCATTCGGTCAACCAGCCATAACAGTTGCTTAGGCATATATATATATGTATGTATGTGTGTGTGTGTATATATATATATATATATATATATATATATATATCCTATCTAAAAAATAGACAAACATGGTAATTAACCATACCTCTGACACACTTCCCATTGGCTAATCCGGGCGATATGCAAATTAACTGCCAACCAGGATGGCGGCCAGCAGCCAGGCAGCTAAAGTGAACAGGAGGCTTGCTTGCTCCAGTGATGGAGGAAGCCAAGGTTCCCGCCTGCCGCTGCCAGCCTCTGAGCTGCACTCTAAGAAACAATGTTGCAATTATAGAAGCTAAACAACCCCAGAAACCTGCTTTCAGCCAGCCGGGCCTCAGAGCTGGAGCTGCAACAGTGTTTCAATTATAGAAGCCA